GCAACATTTTGTTGATGAATATGTAGTGTTGGGTGAATATTTATGATTGATAGTAAAAGGTAAGATTTTCAGATTTAAAAAAAATGTCATAAACAAAATCACCTTAAGTAGGGAGATATTTTATTTTTATAAGAAAATCATACTGATTATACCTCAACATTTGGATTATCTTTAATGAAAATATAATTCTTGTCTGCTCAGTGTGCTCAGTGATTGAGCATCAACCTATGAACTAAGAGGTCATAGTTTGATTCCCAGTCAGGGCACATGCCTGGGTAGCAGGCTCCATCCTCAGTAGGGGGTATGCAGGAGGTAGTCAATGATTCTCTGTCATCATTGATGTTTCTATCTCTCTCTCTCCCTTCCTATCTGAAATCAATAAAAAATATACTTAAAATAATTGTTAAAATACAATTCTCTGATATAATAATTCTGACTTCCTCTCCCCTAAAAGTAGCTGGCAGGACCCTGGGCCAGAGTAGGGATTTGTATTCGATATGAAGAGGAAGTCCCTTTTTGGAGAGAGATGCTCTGTAGAGAGCAATTCTGAAGTCATCTTCTTGGGAAATGCAACGTTAAGTTCCAGAAGCCTGTTTATATGAAGCATAACCCAGCTGATGAATGGCTCAGGATGACCCTCCAGGTAGGGCTGGGAAGCCCTGACTCTAGAGGAATTAAAAGTAAAGGAGGGAAATAAATCCAAAGCTGCTGAGATGGATGTTAAATTTGTCAGATGCACATGCTCTTAGTCAGGGTGGGGACTATCCAGCCCATGGACTGTATTAGGGCTTTGAAATCATTTGGTCTGGCCCTGCCAAGGCATAATGGGCGAGTTAATAAAATATTTGACCAAATATAGCAGGCTAATTTTTGAAAATATATTTTATTGATTTTTTAGAGAGGAAGGGAGAGAGATAGAGAGCTAGAAATGTCGATGAGAGAGAAACATGGACCAGCTGCCTCTTGCACACCCCCTACCAGGGATGTGCCCACAATCAATGTACATGCCCTTGACCGGAATCGAACCTGGGACCCTTCAGTCCTCAGACCGACGCTCTATCACTGAACCAAACCGGCTTCGGCTAGCAGGCTAATTTTTAAGTTGATAAGTTTGCATGCCTGTGAATGATGTTGGAAATATCCAAATGGCCTTTGGCAGGAAAAAGGTTCCCCACCTCTGCTAGTGGTAAAAGATGTGGACAGCCTTGACAAGCAATAATGAGTACATATATAGACCAAAGTACATTTTGGGTTCCACTATGCATAATAGAATCCACATGGCTCTGAGAGCTTGGCTCATTCAGTTCTAGGGCTCTTAATTCCGTTGGCCCAATGTGAATAGTATTTCAATAATTAACTGTTCATCTGTTCCTTCTAAAAAGAACACACCTTGTATGACTTTTTAATTTTGTTGGTTTTTCTTTTTGCTTGTATACCAAATTTAGTTAATACAGCTGAAAGTTAATTACACATTAGCTTGTAGTCTGTGAATTTTTATGTCTAAAGTGCTCTAATTTCTCTGCCTTAGAGTATCAAGTATAGTCATAAAGCTAGTGAACTTGTGTATGTGGGAAGGCCAGGTATTTTCTTAAGACCAACTTTATTCACACACTACCCAGCAAAAGTCAAAAGGGATGGATGGCCAAGGATTGTGCTGCTTCTTCTCTCCCTTTCCCCTCCCTTTACTATGTTAACTAACTCAAATATATTTACTAAGCACTAACCATATGCACTTTTCATTGTGTTACAATAACTGAGGGGAAAAAAAACCCCACAAAACTCTCAGGGGTCTTTCATTCAAGATTCTATTTGATTAATAAAACTATAAATATAGTACAAGGGGGTATACTCCTTATAATCTAAAACAATGTTTTCTAAACTATTGGTTGCCAGTCATCTTTTGTTGAATCATAAATATATTGTGTTGGATCACACTTTACAAAGAGTAATAATAATAATAAATGGGAACAAATGGCAAATCTCAGTGTGTAGTGAATGTAGTAAGATATTTTTTCCTAACATGTTTGGAGGACAAATGTGCGTATGTGCTGTATGTCAATTAAGTGCAGGTCTCACTATGAGTCAAGGTTCAAAATGTTTGAAAGACAGTACAGTACGCAGAGGAGTTTAAAGACATGGTTTTAACGTCAGTAGCCAAGAAAGGAAGGCTTCATGGGTCTGAAAGTACTTGGCTGAGACTTAGAGGAGAGGCCTTTTCAGACAAAAAGGCTACCAAAAGGAATTGGGAAACTGTGAATTAAGTTTAGGTAACCATAAGAGAAAGTAAACTTCACAGAACCCCAGCATAAGCATACTCCTGAATGAATGGCCGGCCACCCTAGGACTAACCCTACTTCCAGAATCTTATCGGAACAGCGGAACCACATACAATAAATAAAGTCTAGATCTCCCCGCTTGGACGCATTCTCTATCTCTGATGCCACAAGGAAAACCTTTAACAGAGTTGTTCTTGTGAGGTACACCACCCTGAGGTGATGCAAAAGATCCTTCTGTTCAACCGCTTGTTCCAAATATTGGTGTATTTAAGAAACTACATTCTTCAAAGGCCTCCTGATAAGTACCCAACTCAGTAAGTTCCTAGTGACTCCCCCGCACACCTCGATTAGATTTAGATACAATGGTGTCTTCTAGCCCACGTGTACTCTCTGAGCTCTATTGGTCTACTATTTACTGGGGGGAAATTCAAGGACTCGGGACAACGGGTTTATCTTAACGTTTTAATATGGACACAAAAGAAGGAAATAAGCATAAAAACAGTCAGGGTGGCCTCCAGAGAAGAGGGACTGTTGTTGCAGGAGTCTTGCCAGTTAATGAGAATTCACCCGGGACTCCAGAGGGCGGGGCGGGAGGGGGGGGAAAGAGGAAAGAGATGGGGGGCGGGTGGTGGTGGATAAAAACCCTTCCTTTGCAGCTGGCCCTCTCCCTCATTTGTTGCTCCAATAAGCAGTAATTAGGTCCTGAGCTAATGGTGTCAGCTGATCTGCCGTTTTTAGGCTAGACCCAGAGGAATCTCCATGGAAACCCTGCCGGAGTCGTCCCCCCACCTGGATGCTGAGTGCTCCTTTCCGCCACCTGGCTGCCGCCCGGCCCGGCTGCCTCCGCCCGCCGGGAACCTGCAGCCCGCAGCGTGCGCCCTGCCCCCGGGATCCCTAAATGGGACAATTCTGCCCGTGACGTCAGCGCCCAGCCGTCTCCACAGAAACTTTTGTCCCGTGGACCAATCAGCGAGCTCAGAGAGGGCCGGGGAGGTGGGGGTGGGAGGAGAGGGGAGCGGGAGGGGTGCGGGTGAGGGGGAAGGCGAGAGGTTTCGTGCGCTCGGCCCGGGCTGTCAGTGCCGGCGCCCGCCCGCCGCCGGAGCCCTTCCCGGGGACGCGCGCGCCCCGCGCCCCCTCGCTCCCTGGCTCCCCCGCTCTCACGCACGCACACGGCCGGCCTGGCCGAGCGGGAGCTACTGACCATTTGGCAGCGCCGGGACGGCTGCGGCGCAGGGGGCGCCCACACACGGCGTCCCCATTCGGGGCTTGCGTTCTGGACGCTGCGATCCGGGGCGAAGGTGGGCTAGGGCGCGCGCCGGGCACCGGGCACCGGCCGGGCCGCCCGCCTGGCACAGCCGCCTCCCTCCCGGGACGGGCGCGGGCCTCCGCCGAGAGTGGAATAAAGAGGAGCGGCCGCAGTCGCAGGGCGCGGAGGATGGGAACTCCCCTGTTCCCGGCTCTGTAGCGGATGATGGAGATCCCGAGCGGAGGAGCCGCTGGTTTCATCTGCCTGAGAAGACCGTCCCCAGGAACTCCCATTTGGCTCTTCTGAGCGGCGGCGGATGGTGTCCGTGACGTGGCGGAGGGAACACAGACGTCCGACACCTCCGGTGTGAACTGCAAACTGTAACCAAGCGAGGGGGTAAACGATGTCTCCATAGATGTCATCTTCATGCTCAGGGCTTTCAGCATCCGTGTCCTCCTTTAAGCGTCCTCCTTCTGTGTCCGCGCCCGGGTCCGCGGGCGCCACGCGAGTCCTGTCTGAGGACCCAGCACCCCCGGGGCGCCCTGCCTCCACCCAGCGGCCTGCCTCCGCCTGCCCGCATCGCCCCGAAGCGGAAGGAGACCCGCTTTGGGGTACCTCGCTCCCTCCTGTGGAACCATGGCCACATCTCCATGAATGCCTTGGTTCATGCTGGGACTTAAAAACTCCTGGAACCTCCATGGGAAGGCTGGCATTGAGCCTACATGCCTCGGAAGAAATGGCATTTTAAGCCGTTTCAAAAATACCTTTTAAAAATGTCCTGTGTAGCGGGATGTGATAGGCTTAGTCACACGACAGGTAAGAACTTTCTCTCCTGCTAGTCTCCGAGTGCCCCACGCCGGGGAGGCCGCGGCGGAACCGGACGCCAGAGGAAGGAAGGGCAGCCGGGGGCCGGGGGCGCCGAGCTCCGAGGAGGCGCTAGGCCGGGCGGCCGTTCCCGGAGGCGCAGCCTCCCTCCCGCCCGGCCCGCGGGGCCCAGGCTCCGGGGGCGCCCGCGGGGAGGCGGCGCTGGCTGCGCGCACCTGCCCTGCCCAGGACGCAGCCCAGGGGCGAGGCGAGGCCAGGCGAGGAGGGCCCACCTGAAGTCAATATTGGGATTTGTCATCAACCATCAACCGAGGAATGAGGTTTTAATTATTCAAAACCCAGCTCCTCCGGCTCGCTGCTGGTGGGATGGTCCTAGCGGCACGATTTTAGACCCATCGCGGAGGAGGAGGAGGAGAGCGTCCGAGCAGAGCCATCGCCGCAGTTACCCACGGACCGGAGGAGACTTGGCCGCACGGGGCATTGATCGCGGGGGCCTGGCGGCAGGACCCTCCTCCTCCTCCCTTCCCCACTCCTTCCCCGACCCCGGCCAGGCTCGGCGGCGGCGGCCGGGACCTGGTGTGCCCGCCCGGCGGCGGGGGCTGCCTCTGATGAGCGCGGCGGGGTGAACAGGTGCGAGGCGCACGGCGGGGAGCATGGAGAGCGAGCGCGACATGTACCGCCAGTTCCAGGACTGGTGCCTGCGGACTTACGGGGACTCGGGCAAGACCAAGACGGTGACCCGCAAGAAATACGAGCGCATCGTGCAGCTCCTCCACGGCGCCGAGTCCAGCTCCACGGACAACGCGAAATTTAAATTCTGGGTCAAGTCCAAGGGCTTCCAGCTGGGCCAGCCCCCCGAGGAGGTCCGCGCGGGCGGCGGCGGCGCCAAGCCGGTGCTCTACGTGCCGGTCAAGACCACGGTGAGTGCCTGCCGCGCCCGCCTCCGTTATTTGTCTGCGGCGGCGGCGGCGGCGGCGGCCGTGCGGGGAGGGGGCGCGGGGGAGAGGGGGGAGCCGCGAGGAGCCACCGTTGGCTCATATGCCCCCTCCCTCCGCAGCCCCCTACCCAAGTCGCTCCCACTCTCAGCAGCCAGGCGGGTCCCCCCTACCTCCCCCCCCCCCACCCCCAGCGCGGAGGCTTTGTGGTCCTTTATTTTAAAGCCGCAGCGCCCGCCGCCCCTCGGTGAGCCCCTGCTGCTGCGGGACGCGCTGCCGGAGCCTCCTGCCCGGGGTCGGGCGGCGTCCCGCGCCCCCCAGTGCGGGGGCCATTGTCCCGGGTCCCGCCGGGCTCCCGGCGCATGTCCGCCTTCGTCGCCGCGCGTGCAGGCCGCGCCGGAGCCCCAGCCGCGCGCTCTCCCCGAACAGACGATTCTGATCGATAGGCCACCGTGTCTCCTTATTGGTACAAAGACTGAATGTGGTGCTAGTAGTGCCTGCGGGGTCCCCTCCCCGGCGGCACCGCCGGGTTTATGGCCCCAGGGCCGCCCGGGAGGCGCGCGGCGGTCCGATCGCCCAGGAGGCTCCAGGAGACCCTGCCTGGACCCTGCAGACCTTAGATGCGGTTCTGGAGTCGCGCCTCCCCACCCCCATCCCCTTCCTCGCGGTCCCCCTTCCACACATAAAGGCGCCGCTACGCCGTGAGCCACAAAGAGAAGAGATGGGTCGGGGCGCCCTCGGACGGGGCTGGTGTCGGTGTCTCCTCCTGGGATGGCACTAGCCTTCTGGCCACGCCGCGCGGAGCCCGGGCGCTGCGAGGTGCCTGCGCGGGGCGCTCGGTGTGTCCGCCTCGCCAGGCGGCCGGGAGCAACGGCAGAGGCAGCAGTTTCCTTTGAGAGAAGATGGGGACCAGTAGGATTTCAGATCAGAGCCCCGCGACCTCGTTCTCCATCGCGCCACGGTGGGTACCGGCCTGGAAGCGGGTGTGTGTGGCATCCTTTGCATTTCTGCCTGGCGTTGGGGTTGCTCGAGCTTTTGCTGCTTCCCCCTCCTTCCCGCTGGCCATGGTTTCCGTGCGGTATTCCTGGAGGATGCTGGAGGGGAGGGGCGTTGAGAGCCATTCTTCTGACTCAAATGGTGCATATTACACTGGAAATATGCATAGGAAAGGTTTTCCAAAGGGTTCTTGGGAGGATTCTTTGAGGTTTGGAAAACAATTTGTGGCTTTCCCAGGTTAGGTATAAATTCCAAAACAAATACACTTTGAAGGAAGTGTATTTGTTTTGGAATTTATATGAGAAGAGGAAATAAAGGTGAAGTGAAACACATAAAAGTTCTGCAGTATTTTTTAAAAATGTTATTGTTGGAAGTTTCCAGGGAGTAATTTATAAATGCAGCTTTAAATAATGAGGAGGAAATGGCCATGGATTAAAACTGAGGTTTATTTACATCTGGATGAGCCCAAAATCTGTTGTAGCCAATGAAGTGTTTTGATTCATTTGTATTAGGAATAGCATTAAGAACCCGATTAAAAACAAAACAAATTATTGTTAGAATTGGAATTCAGAGCATCAAACTGTATTTTCCTTTGGGCAAGATTGAAGTAATTAAATGAATAAAATAATTTTTTAAGATCTGTTTACCTAAATATGATTTAATAATATTATATATGTTTTTTAAAACATTGCTAGCTGGGAAGTTTGTTTTCCATTCTTTTCATGTTACCTGCTGATAGCTTCATCTGGTCCAGTAAGTTTATACTTGCATACATTTGGTTATAGCCAGTATGTATAAAACATTAATTAAAATTTCTATGGTAAATAATATAACTTCTGTAATGGTTACCAAGGCGCTGATATAAACATGGATGCCAGTAATTCAAACCAGCATTCTTATACTCAGATACACACGTTTTCATTAGAAAATTAATGCAGATTTGTTCAAGAATTACTGCTAATACACCTAATATAGCGTAACAACTCCCGAGTTACGAATAAAGCAACACTGTTTTTTGTTTTGTTTTCTTTTCAGTAAAGATTCCACATAATTTTGGAGGGAAATGTAATCCATCAATTGATATTCTTAGTTAATGGTTTCCATGGAGTATTTAAAAGCCCTGCTCTTCATTCAAGCCTGTTGTGAAATGTTGAAGAGGTGTTTAATTCATGAACTCTTCTGTTGCTCTTTATGAAATTTTTATGCTGCTCCAGACATAAGAATTATAGGCTCCTCCTTCTCGGAGTGACAGCCAATCGTCATTTCAACAAGTTAAAAAAATGATCCCTTTTTAGCCAGTGTTTCCCCACATCTCAAATTATTTCCTCCTTAGAAATACCTTGTTTTTTTTTTTTTTTTTTTTTTTTTTTTTGTGTGTGTGTGTGTGTGTGTGTTTTAAATAGCTGGAGTGCAATCACCAGAGAATCAGAAACCATATTTTCTTTTCCTTCAAAGGCATCCATGGGTTGAAGTAAAAATGCTGTATTCGAATGGTATTTTCAAGTAAACTGAGACTCATTCCAGCTCCTTGAAGCTGGCTTGCTGTCAGGGAGAGAGATTTGCACCTGAGGTTGCTGTTGATAATTAGACATCATTACTGCTGAGAAAAGGGAGAGGGAGAAGGGGAGAGGACAGGCTGTGGCTAATTAACTACTTGTGTTTAATGAAAGAAAGGGAGACTGATAGCAACTGGGAGGCTGGTTGTACCGGGAGAGAGCACACACCCCGTACACAGCTAATTGAAACAATATCTTTCCATCCGAAAGAAGCTAGGCTCTACCTCTTACTTTCCCCAAAGAATATAGATATAACTTGGAGAATATGCTTTCTCCTAAAGTCTTAATTCAACTGATGATAAAATCAAGCAAGCGTCAATTGGCTTAAAATAAAAAATACGTAGAATACTGGGAAAGATAAAAATGCCCTTTAATATTTGTCCTGGTCATGGCTAATGCCTAGAGGTTACTTTGTGGCTGAGGAGATACTGATTGGTCACCAAGCAACAACATCCTGCAACTCAGCCATTTTAGGCCTAGGTTGGACCTGTTTACGTGTGCATGCAGGCACACACGTGTGGACACACACACACACACACACATGCAGCTTGTGGAGCATGGCATTTAGGTGTTTTTTTTTTTTTTCCATACTACCACTTTTATTTTTACATCTTCTTTCACTAACGGTTATCAGGAATTTAGAAAAATGGCATGATGCATAACATCATAATTCTGTAAAAAGTATAGCAAATTTCTGACACAGGTTACAAAAAAATGTTTAATCAGGGATCGTTTTTAAGTAGCATTGCTATTGGTTACTCTAATTTACAAAATTAAGAGTTCTAGTTTAGTTTGTTTTTAGCAACTTTTCATCTTGATTGACATTTTTTTTTCCTGCCAGCAATTAGTTGAAACAGCACATAATTTAAACTTGATATTATGAAAAGTAAATTTGGAAAATAACCAGAAAATTCATTAAGGCTTTCCATTAGTCGTGTGACTCATGCATTATTGCATATTTCTAAAAAGTTCCCTACAGTATATAGCGCAATAGGAAATTTGGTGAACTCAATTTTTTATTTGTTTTTCAGTCTTACTCAAACAGGCTAATGAATATCCAAACTGTAAAATTAGGTAATGTGAGGGATGCTTTTCCTGACCTGTGTGTGTAGGGACAGACACTTGCATCTAATTTTTGCCTTTCATGTATTTCTCCCTTCTATTTATTCCACTGGGGAACATGAAATGAATTTTTTATACAGAAAAGAAAAGGCATTATCTATAGTATGCCATTTAAAAATGCTGATTTATTCAGTTTCGCAATCATGTAGCCATAGATTTCACATTGTTCTTGCTGTGCATGATACTAATTATTACTGTACAGTGATTAAAATAAATATTCATGGACTGATTCATGTACAGTTACTGGGTTTTTGTTTGTTTAGTTTTCTCTGTTTTTGGTTATAAATTCTTGAGGCTACATCAGATGGAAGGAAATAATGCCCCATACAGAATCTGTATAGCTTCTACCTGGCCTAACTTCATGCCTGAGGCATAGGTCACATATATTAGGCCTTGATCTGGATGCTACAGGAGTTGCAGAAAACAGAGCTGAGCATCAGCACCAGCTATATATCAGGAGATGTTGTATCTGTGAAAGAGACAAATCATAATTGTAGTCACTGAGACATAGGAAAATTTTGCTTATCCCCTGATATGTTTAGAGTGGTCATTGCTATTGATAACTGATGCATTTTTCTCTTCATTTAAAGTGTTTAGAGACAATCCCTATTTAGACTAGGTCTTTTGAGTCAAAAGATTCCCATATGAATCTCAGCAATGTAGGTTGTCAGTTGACTTTAGTGGCCCCTTATGAATTGCACTGAGGAATAAATTGTGAATGGCAAGTCCCTAGCACAGTGCCCATGTAAGACTCTCAGGGAAGAGTGGACACCTTTACTAGAGACCATTTTGGTATATGCCAGGGTTCTTGTTCCAGCATTACAAAGGGTTCAGCAATCTGGAGAAAGGCTGTGCATAGATTAAGTAAGAGTCCAAAGACGAAAGATAATTTTAAAAGGCTTTGGGGGTCAGCAAAGCTTCATTTAAGGAGCTAAAGTTCTCCTTGTCTCAGGACCCCTTGCTTTTTATTAACACAATTTGTCCTAAGGCAAGGTGAAGATAATGCACTTCAAAGGGTAAGGTACAGAAGCATTGTCAGATTGGGGAATTGCCTTCAGCTGCTCAGGTGTTTGGCCATCAAGAGGCAATAACATGTAGATTAAGATGCCCTGAGCTGTCTGGCAGCAAACTATCATTCTATTCTGATTTGAGGAAAGTGCCTTTCAGCCATTCTAACATGTGATTGCATATGTGAATATGTGACTCAACCCTTGTTGACTCCCCAAGTTTCATCATCCTTTTGATGAAACTCTTGTAATTATGACATATTGGAGTTGGCTTCCAGCAGGCATAAGAATTAGAGGTCAAGAG